CCAGGTATGTGACATCCCCACTAAACATCAACAAAGACATCCTCTATTCTACATATTCTGCAGCTGATCAGCACTATCGACTCCATGTAAACGACAGTGCTGTGATTCATCGCTTAGCAACTATGACGTATCTAAACCAGTAACTGCCATACATCAGTACGTGACTAATGCTCTAAGGGAATCTTCTTATCTAGAGTATTTCCTGTATCTGCACGTAATTAACTCTGCCTTCCATATCACATTTAATAAATTTACTGTGTAACTTTGAAATGAATCCTTTGGAGATTCCAGGGTTCGTTATCCTCATTTCAATCTCTGTATGTCATTTATAAGAATCTGCTAATTCTTGGGAATGGGAAATAAAAATTTCTAATTGCATATGATTAAACATTGGTATGTTATCTATAGTAAAAGCTCTTTGTAATATACTTGGGTCTGCAATTCTGTCTCCAATTAACTGTCCTCCTAGTTGGACAGGTTGCTTTTTTCCTTTTCTGAAAAACTGGAATCAGTATCTCCTGGAGGGAAATGTAGATACTAATTGTCTGCAAAAACAGAAGGATCATGGCTGACTCTTCTAATTTATCCCTGATCTTAAAGGGAAACTGCAACACAGAAGATATTTTGATAAGGAAAACATAGTTTCAAATTTTTCTGCTCCGTTGTTTCCAAGTTGCTGTTCCATCACAAGCCATTAGCTCTGTAGTCTCAGAGGGACTGGTCTGTGACACTACATCTTTCTTGAAATACTGACCACATTTTCCATAGTCTTAACTATTAAATATTCTTATTCTATCATTAAAATGTGAAATGAAAAATGGTACATTTTCTAAAAATGTCAAAAGCTTTCCTACACCAAAGGTTTCTGTTTTACCTTTTTATTTGGGGGGGGAGGGTGAGGGGAATATTTATCCAACCATATTTACATTTAGGATGTTTCTATGGATGTACATCATTGGCAATGCGTATTTCTAAAAGGACCGTCATCTGGGTTTTACAGTACCTTTAAGTGAGCTTTGTGCCAAAAAATGTAATATTTAGGTTTTGCTATAACTAGGTTAAATAATAAAAATTATGTAATAACTTAAGATCAAGTCTCACTTAATTTGAAGCTTCATCCTGAAAGTTTTTTTAATAACTATTTCACAGGGATAAAGGGTTAAACAATGCCAGCAAGATATTATCCTCACACAGAGGTGCTTTATTTGAGATGTTTGAGTAGAAATATTAACTACAGCCTACGAAGTTAATGACATACTGAATTATCATTATGGCTGATGAAAACAGTAATTAAATATTACAGCTTGCATGTGTCATCATTACCTTATTTCCTCTACAAAAATAACAGATTGTTTTAGGTATCACATAACATGAAGAACAGTTACTAACAGTGATGGTGATAAAATCAGAATACACTGAATGATATCAGTGCCAGTACTTCTAGGGTAAGTGCTGTATAAACATCTTTGGAGTGGAAGGAGGACTGGAATAGGCATACTTCACGCTTTAGCTTGGCCACAGTGGGCATAATTTCTTGTACTTCTTTGTTTAATTCAGGCAGCTAGCTTTTGAAGAAAACAGTATGAATTTTTGCAGTAGCCATTCATCAGACAAGATGCAAACTGAAACTGCCTTAGGAAACAAATGAAGTATCATGGAAGTGACAGCTTGGTTATTAAGAGATGTTTCTTCACATTACAGAACCTTGATATAATCTGATTTGATTCACATTTATCTGCTGGAGGGGTGTGTACACAGAAAGAACAATTCTGGGAAGCCCTGTAATGGAGCAAAGCCTTAAACTCTCTAAAGTAGTGAAACGCATAACAAACGCTATTTCAGTCTTTAACTATGGTATCACTTACTCTTGCAGCTTTAGTACAATTGGTAGACTTTTCTTCCCGAGCAACTGTGTATACTTAGCAGGGTGAGAAAGATTAAAGTGAGGTGAAAAATTTGGGGTACTTTCTGAAACAGTCAACTCAAAGAAGGAACAACCTAGGAAAACATGTTTTTGTGTCCCATACGACAGTACAAAAGTAAAAACTAAAGGAAACTGAAGTATAACACAATAAAAATAGTTTGCAATATTTTGCAGTATTTTTTTTCCTTAACGCTTGAAACCAAATGTTTGTTTGGTGGGATTATTTTTAACCAAAAATCCCCCTTCAAATTCATTGGAAAATTTAGTCTGCGCTTACTACCAGACAATTTGCATTTATATTTTTCAGGGCATTTTTACTAAAAGATCGGTACACCAGAAGGTAGCAGTCTCCAATAAAATACTGCCACGGTTGCTTGTATGAACCGGACACTCACTGTATGCAAAAGTTAGCAAGAAAGCAGATACTCATGAAAGTGTTACAGATTTTCTTGAGACTGTATTATATACCAGCTCTATGTTGCTAGGCAATAAATACCTGAAGCACATAGAACAGATTCATGCCAGAATAAAACTTGAAATTATTTGAATTTTGCAAAAATTCACCATTCTAACTGATTGATTTCTGAGACAAGAACACTAACACAGCACACGAATCACAAATCTGATGACCTAATGATAACCTAATGATGTCTGAGGAGCATATTCCCTATTGCATAATGCTTTTGCTGGCTAGGAGTTATATTTTTATGCCTCCTCTTCCTACGGGAGAGCCTATGTAGCTCTTGAATACTGTAAGAGCAGAGTAAAAGAATCAGCACAATAATTAAAACTTTTTCATCAAAAAGGGGCGGTAGCTCTTGCTGCTGCTATCTTAAACTTCCAGCATGGTACAACCCTGCTAAGAGAAGATGCATACCTCAGTGAAAGGTAAAAGGAAAAAGCACAAATCAAGCATTAACAAGCAAGAAAAAAGGAAGTAAATCAGATCTCTGGGTGCAGGAGAGCAAAAGGGAACTGCAGATCATGGGACAATAGACTGAAAATAGTGGAAGAAAAAGAAATCTTCAGGTCAGAGTTCAGCTGGTCTAAGTCAGCGTAGCCCCAGGGAAGTTACGCTCACTTAGGCCTGGCAGGAATCTGGCTCAGCAACCTGAAAAAAGAAAGGGAAAAACTTAAGGATAAACAAGAAAAGACTGGGGTTGAGCAGAAAGACAGATATAATTCCCTTCTTCTGTGGAGAGGGGAGAAAATTCTTGTGAATGGAGCTGAAAGGGTGGGAGAACAGACAACTAGGCAGGAAGACAGAAAGCTGGAAGCACAAAGCATAGGAAGCAAAAAGAAATTGACATAATGGCAGCATCGTCAGGTGGTAAAGAAAGAATTTTAGGGAAAAAGTGAAGAATGAAGTGGCAGAGAGAAAAATTATGTGCTTTTAAGGTATTTGACTTCCTATTGAGATTACTGCTTCTTGCACATGCCCGTCAGAAGCACTTCAATATCATTCTTGGTTCATTGTCATCTATACATTTTTATTCCTCTTACACTGCCAAATACCATAAAATTAAGCATAGGTTAAGATTCCTGGAATATATATGGTTACACTTCTGGGTCACTGCTACCATTGTTACACTAGACAGACAGATCTTTCCAGGTGCGATGATCGCTTCATCTCCCTGTCATCACTGCAAGGTGAAAAAGACCTTTAGTCAAAGGGCATTCTTGCAGCAAATATCATGGAGGGGGGAGTGTATGAAAAGAAAGAATACCTACAATATGATAAAAAACCTTTAATGTTTAAAATACAATGTGTCATCAGCTGAAATGATTATTTTTGTCAATTCTGTTTGACATCCGAAACAAAGTTATTAAATAAGCACTGTTCACAAGCCTCTATAAGCACGCACAATACGAATACACAGTGCTATATGAAAAAATGCATTCATGTACCATTTGTAGGCACTATGTAGACATATGTGCCTAACTTCTTATATCTGCTACTATGTGAACTAAACACCAGATCGCTGATTGAGGATATTCTTTAGTAAGTTTGTAACCCAGTGACTGGAACGCTTGTCTAGAAAGGACAGCCTTATCTCTGTAATACATGCACTTAAACGCAAATCAATATCCATGGCAGCTAGTGTATTTTTATTTATTTATTTATTTATTAAATCAACCACACGCCTGCATGGCTGGTTATACAACATTTCTCTGCTGTGTAAATGGTTTGCAGCTAACTTGCTGGGCCAGTATTCTACCTATGTAAACTTTTAAAATACGAAAGATTTACAAATTACTGGTATTAGGTTTGTGCGCTTGCCCTCTCCTATTAAACAGAGGATGATTTCCTAGATTAGCCAGTAATAGAGCTGGGTTAGAAACAGTATACCTGGCCTGCAAAATACAAAGGATTTTAAATTTTTCTTTTTTTGTTTCAACATTACATTGAAACCTTAAGAATCACAGTGCTCATTTGGGATACGAAAGCTGTCTTTGTCCAACCAAAACAAGACAGTATCCTGTAATGCAGCTGGCTATGCAGAAGACTAATGATCCTTTTCCCTTGTTTTAAACACAAGTGCTACTCTGAAGCTGAACATGTTTTCCTTATGAAAACACTGTTATTGGCACAGGGCTGTGTAAAGTTCCAGTTTTGAACTCACAGTTCTCATACTCCATAGTTCTCATACCAGAAAAGAAATGAAAAATAGTATCTCAAAGCTAAGTAATTGCTCTGGATAGCATGGAAACTGAAGATAATAAACATGTAATGACAGAAAATTTAACGTGCATATATAACTGAACCTCGTTAATAACCTCATTAACAAAAATAACATACTTCCCATTGTAAAATCCTGATTATAACCCTCTAATATAACATGTAAACATTTTAAACACAGCAGCTATTCATACTGCATACTTCTGTGTGCTATATTTATATAGATGCGTGCAGATAAAAAAAATACACCCGTGTACACACACGTTCTAACACTACACAAAGACACACAAACAGACTTAAGTTTATAAGCAAAGAGTAGGTACAAATGAGTATACACAGATAAGGACAATATGTTACGTCGAACAATTTCCTGTGTTGTCACTGAAACATACTCACCATTTGCAGAAGATCAGAAGAAACCATCTGCATGCAACACATTGCTGTTGCCAAAGCACAGACAATGGTGGAGATGATATTGAGAGCGCACACACTAAACAACAGGTCCTGTGAAAAGACATGCATCAGAACATCACCTCTTATCTCAGGGACACAAAGGACAGGAAATATTTTTAGCAATTTGATAATAAACACCGTCAACTGCTATCAATTGATATGGCCTCAATTAACTGTGTAGAACTCATTCAGCTCGTAATAATTTTTTTAAACCAGTCTGCAAAGGGAACAATTACAGAAACAAACATCTTCCCTTCCCCACTTCTCACAATACATTTGGTGTTAGAGGTTTTCTCAGAAATATTCATATTTCAAGTTTTCCAGTTCCCTGAAAGAAAAGACAAATTACTGCTTTCACAGTGGACTCCAAGCTGCAGCTATCACAAGAAAAATACTATGAAACAGACTTCTGATTAAAAAAAAAAAAATACATACAGAAATTTCATTGCTTTCAGTAGTTGAAATCTACAACTTAGCATTGCGTGTTAAAAAAATTCAACGGAAACTCTAGTATGAAATCCTGTATCAGATACTCTATGTATCTGAAACATTTTTAGATATGAGAGAAAAGCAGTGACTACATCCGGGCATTTCACCTTTTGCTGATGAAATAAGTGCATATAGCCATGTTGTCTCTTTAAAAAAATACAGAACATTTAAAATAGAACATAAAGTATTTCTGTTTACTAAGTAGAATAAAATAAAAGAATAATTTCAATTAAAACTGAAACATTTTTATAGCAAAGGTATAATTAAAAAAAAAAGCATCCATCTCTTCCAATCACTGGATTTTTTTTTTTTAATTTCCCAACAGCCAGTGAAAAGGAACACTGGTTTAGCATGCTGGGGACATTTCAAAACTACTACAATCCTTCTACAGCAATTGTATAGCTGTTGTACTTGTGATAATTATGTGGCTCAGTTAGTATTCTGAACAGCCAGTAAAAGTATTTGAGAAAAAGCATCACAGAGAACAGATGAAAAACACAATCAAAATTGTTAATATACCATGAGTAAAAACACTGTGTAAAGAACATTCTGTAAGATCAAAGTTTAAAAGAGTATTTCAGTCACTGCCAGTGCATAAAATAACTTCCATGCTATAAAATCAATGCATTGCTTGCTTTGCTTTTTCCAACAGTACTGAAAAAGTGATAGAAAAGTGCGCATTTACTCCTGCCACTGCCACTGCATGCTCCTCAAGTGACTTTCATTTGAAGGTGGAAATGCCAGCCATGGGAACCAGGCAGACATTAAACGGGTCAACAAGTTCTAGTCATTTAATAGCTTACACTGAGCCAGATTTACTCTTGCTGATCTCATCAGTAGTTTTCTGTCTTCTTGGCCAGCTCCTCAGCCAGGGGAACAATGAATCAATAGCATCAACAGCAAAATACTGGAAGGGCCAATCTCTAACTCACATACAGAAGGTGATACAGAGGACTCATTCAAATACAAAGTCATATAGACCCACTTAGAGCATTCAAATGGAGGGACACAGGCAAGTAAATCCCTAAAGATGCCATTAGCTAACAGTGGCACAAAAAGAGATTGAGATACTACGTGTTCTGCTTTCCACATGTAAACCTAGGTAAAGAACACCAAGGCAGACGCAAGATCTAGGGTAGAAATAGGGCTATTTCCTAGCAATAAGACACTTCAGTCATTGCTTACTACAGCCATTTAGAACCAAAAGATTTAGCTAATCCAAATGTATAACTTGATACCATTTATGCTAAATAATAAAATCTACATCAAAGTCGTAAATTAGACTCATAGAATCATAGAATCATTAAGGTTGGAAGAGACCTCCAAGATCATCGAGTCCAACCGTCAACCCAACACCACCATGCCCACTAAACCATGTCCCTAAGCGCCTCATCTACACGTCTTTTAAATACCTCCAGGAATGGTGACTCAACCACTTCCCTGGGCAGCCTGTTCCAATGTTTAACCACTCTTTCAGGAAAGAAATTTTTCCTCACATCCAATCTAAACCTCCCCTAGCGCAACTTGAGGCCATTTCCTCTCGTCCTATCGCTTGTTACTTGGGAGAAGAGACCAACACCCACCTCGCTACCGCCTCCTTTCAGGTAGTTGTAGAGAGCGATGAGGTCTCCCCTCAGCCTCCTTTTCTCCAGGCTAAACAACCCCAGTTCCCTCAGCTCCTCCTCATAAGACTTGTGCTCCAGACCCCTCACCA